TAAATGTATAATATAAGAAACTACAAATTATAATAAATGTAATTGATAAACAACCCTAAGCTACGACTTCTTCAAACAAATCCCACAAAATCTGCTGACTAGTCGCTTAGGTGGATATTGTTTTTAAAAATTAATTCAATTTAATGTAAAGGGTTTTATTTAAGACAAAAAAAGTTATTTGCATCACAGTTTCGTGCCTGTACATTCGGTATATTTATGGAATATAAATTAAACGTAATGACCAATAGGTCTCGCAGCTACGTAAAAATAAAGATGAAAATTATTAACACAGACGTTACATACATATGTATTTTATAATATAAACAACTAAAAAAAAAGATATTGATTGTTCAAGAATTAATTGCTATCATAATTAAAGTAGATATACATTAAAATAACGCTTTTTTATTTTATTACTCTTTTGAACTAGAAATTTTAATTGTTTTAAGTTGAATTAGTATCGATTTGTTTAAATAATATTAAATAATACGACCATCAATTTATTTGTAACTAATTTACGATTCTCTCTTAGTGCAGTCATAACTAATACTTTCAAATACATCAAAAAAGATTTGTGAACAACTTGCCCTACGAAATGTGAGCAATATATCTGATTACATATCAGTCTTCTTTTTTTTTATTTTAGAACATTTAGTTACCCCTCGTCATTAATTAACCTTTGGCAGAACGTCACAAATAAATAACGCAAACCAACGCAATTTGTATCGAATAAAAGTAACTCAACCTTTTACCAAAATTTTCTGGTTAAAGCCCATTTTAACCAAAAAAGCTTATAACATAAATAATGAAAAAAAGGCAGAAAATTAATAATACAAAGGTAATACCAAAAATCTCACCAAAAACCACGAAATTGTATAAAAAAGCTCCCATCTGATGATGTAAGGTAATAATAAAATACAGAAAAAAAGATTACTACCTATATTCCTACAAGTTGTCCTATTTCGTTTTTATGAAAAATAAGCTTATTAATCCCGACTACAAGGAATGTTGCACTTTGCTTCAAATAATTACTTAAGTTTTATGAGTAGAAATAACTGAAAATATTTTTCAAAAACAAAACCCTCAGTATTACGTCTGAAAGGGTTAAATTAACTAATAATTCCAGTCCAATATAAAAACAATAAAAATACTATCGAGTTGGTTTCTCTTTTTTTCTTTCTTTTTAATATATTCGCAGTTGCATCTACTCGTAATCGTTTCATAACTTATTGTATAAATTACTTAATTAATATTGATATGACAGGAATGTGTGTAATTACAAATGTAACTGAAATCTATTCTAATCTTAATTAACAAATACGTTAAATAAATAACAGTCATGGTCAAGTAACTTAGATTTGATTTTTTTTTGCAAATTACAAACACTGTAATCTATAGGATTGTCATTATGTTCAGTTTTACAGAAATTAAAGCTAAACCATTGCCTTTTGATTATGTAATGTTTAATTGTTTGTGGGAAAAAAAAAACGTTACACTCCCATTACCCAAAAAAAGGCAGTCTCAAAAAGAGGGTTACAATTACTAAAGACAACAGTGTCTGTAAATTTCTTAAATTTAAAATTGCACAACAAAAAAAAAATATTTCCAATAAAAATAAAACTAAGCACCCTTATTCTGAACAATTTCAAATTAAGCATTGTTTTCGTTAGAACATCTAGGAACTCTATTTGCTTTACAATTAGCTGCACTTAAATATTCACAGGAGAAACGGGAAAGCTGCCCATTGGAATGTTTTAATTTTTTTCAAGTAGCTACCAGAGAACTTAAAAGTTATTATGTGACCATGGCTGCTTTCGCATAATAAAATTCAATAAGCCTATATTATATCCCACCCAGGCACTTCATGTTGTTGCCTTTTTTATACTGTATATCACACCGTAGTAAGGCACACATATTACTTTCTTTTTTAATGTCATTGACTTAACAGTAGCCAATGACGAAGCCAACCCTTAAAATTGGCGATATATTTGTATATTTATATATGTATATATAAAACTATAAAAAAATAATAAAAAAACAGTGTCCAGCGTCCGAAATTAATATGATCACAATACACAATAACAGTTAATCATCCATTCACTTAATTCACTTTATAAAATGAGAAACAGGTGTCGATATTATTTACAATCCTGTTTGTTAGCTGCCAAACTTGTCTTTGGTCAAGCGTATCTAGTTTTAAGTACTGTTTATGTTGAAAACAAGGAAATTTTTCAACACCAGGATTCTTCACCGCCATCCTGGCTACCGTCGTCACTAGGGTCTTCCCCGTACATGTCAGCCAATTTGCGGAACCGAGGACCAAAGTTAGATAAATAATTAAATTTCAAATCGCCATCGTCAGTGCCTAACAGAAAAAAAAAAATTACAGCCTCATATAAAACTAAAACCAAACCAATTTACTACTTCTCGTTTACTTACATGATGCCAATGATGAGAGTGATCCATCGCTATTTCCAAGACCTTCATAGGCATAATGACGTACATCATCATAAGGTAAGTTACTAGGATCCCTGTCGCAAATGTCCTTTTTACCACTCAAGAAACCGTTGATATCAGGGACTTCGGGAGCTTCCTGTCTATAAAGTCCATCAGAAATAGGAAGTTTGTCTTCCAGATGTTCTCCCCTCAGAACTGACATGTCAAAACCGGTATCCACTTCACCACCGCCTTCATCTTCATAGTTAATAATATTCTCGCAAATATCATCGGAATCTTTCTCATTCCAATTATCTTGTTTCCTCCTATGAACTACCACGGCCAAGAAAAGAACTGAAAAAAAAAATAGTAACTTATTATTTAAACAACTTTTTGAATATATGTAAATAACTTACTTATTAAAATGGCAATGCAAACCAGAATGGCCACAATAAAGCTGGAATCTATACTAAATGTTGCAGCACCAATAGTGGCGTAATTACAACTGGCATAAGCGTTTTTGTATTCCCCTGGACTTCCCAGGTTGTATGTTTTTCCATTGAAAGTCAAATTTCTCACACACCCAACGAAACCTTTGGAAGAAGGAACTTGAGTCCACCCTAACACTCTTGCCACTTCTGTCAGATCGTCTCTTGTACCACCAACTTGTAATGGGCCATTTGTGTTCAAGAAAATCGTGTCTTTATTAGGTGGAGCACCCAATTTCAAACAATTACTTTGATGGCAATCGTCAACAGATAAAAGAATTTCCTGAAAATAAAAATCATGGTTTTATTGGACTATACTGATTTATACAAATACAGTGACATACTTCAGGCTGCAACAAAATATGGATAGTATGGCTAGCACCGTCTGTTAATTTTTTGTGATCCAAGTACAACGAAGCAGTTCCACTTCCGTAGTCTACCAAGAGCAGGGGAAGTCCGTCCCGTAATTCCAACGACATAAAATCTAAAAACCACCACACTGTGTTAAAATGTTAAATCACAAAAATAACTTCATTTACCTCTAACTGTAGGTTTTGGAGACGCTGTCATGGGTCCAACATAGAATACTAAACCATTATCGTTTTGTGGTGTTATTTCCAAATGAATCTCAGAATAATTACACGATTCAAAGGGAGGATACATGGCCCAGCCATCACTATAAAATCCTACAGAAAAAAGTTCACATCTGGGTCCTTCAAATGCAGCCAAGCAGTTACACACTCCTGCCTCGTTCATGGTGCCCCCATTGAGACATTCGGCGTTTTCAGGTACAAGACAATCACATACCGCCTCTATTATCGCCTGAACACCCACAAACGAAGTCTGATTGGTAAAGACTACAGCAGGTTCCTCGTGAATATTCAATCTGTTGCTACAAGAGCTTCTTGAAGGACAAACTGACTCATTGAGACATTCGTTTATATTTATCATAACGAATTCCACACCAAGATCATTTTGAAGCTGAAAATGTAAATTATTAATTTGTTATCATTAATATTGAATTCCATAAGGCTTACATCTTTTTGAAATTGGCTAAGTTTAGCATTTAGTTTTTCTGGTAAATAGTACGGAGAACCATGAGCTGAAAATCTAACGTCAACAAGTGAAGCATTTGAAGGCGACGTTAAGACTGTAAAAACGTCTACGTTTTCGGCGGATGTGTTTAATATTTTAGCGAGCCGATTTTGCAAAATATCCTTTTTGCTTAAAGAATCCTACAAATATGTGATATAAAAAAACATGAAAAATTTAATCAGATAAATTGTACTTACCGAATTAGGTGCTTTTATAATAAAATCTTCCACTTTTATCCCCTTTATACGAACAGAACCTGACTTTCTTACAGCCTCTTCCGGTATCAACTTAACAGTGACGGTAACATTAGCAGAAACCGAATGTGATTGAATCACAGGCGGTGCTTCTTCAGTCACAATAAACTTCAGATCGTAGACTCCTTCTGGGGTTCCTTGTTTCATAATAATGCTGCCGTTATTGTGGTTCAACTCGAAATTTTCGTTTGGAAAACCACTCCATTGGAAATTCTTGTCACGAAGATCCCAATCGTCTGGATCGTCCACGTAAATACGTCCAATTGCAACATCAGGGGTCACGCCCTACAACAGAATCCGTAGAAAACAAATTTATATATAATTATGTAACAACTTACGTTATAATTGTAGACAAATATCTCACTGTAACCGTCTTTAGCTTCATTGTCGTTAACATCCCCGATAATTACTGTCATGTAACTAACGCCTGTTAATTTGGGGGTGCCACTGTCTGTTACAGCTATCGGAACAATGTAATATTTCTGAACTTCCCTATCAAATGTAACAAGTGCCTGTAAGACGCCACTGGTAGTTACAGCGAATTTTTGCCGAATTTCTACACTTGCTTCTGGCGCAAGATCATAAGTAAAGGGGGGACCATTTTCTACACTGTCGTAGTCGTCAGCAGTCAGTTGTGTTATGTCGCCAGGTTCTTGATTTTCGTACCACACGACAGTTGTCACGTTTAAAAATGGTTCGTTATCGTTAATGTCTTCTAGTTCTATAATAAATTCTGTCGATGTAAGTAGCGATCCAGGTCCTCCAAGTTCGTCGCTAGCATATATATAAACCTGATAAGCAGGAAAGCCGTCTGGTTTATCCCTATCCAGAGGTTTTATAAGTGTAACGCAGCCGTCTTTAGAGATCTGTATAAACGTTTTCTGTGATTCCCCTACGGAGTAAACTATCCGCTGGTCCGCATTCCTATCTTTAATATCTGGATCATAAGCTTTAATATTTAAAATACAACCATCCACAGCTTCTTCTTCCCTAAGCCTTATACGTTTCTCATAGGGATAGAAAACTGGTATTTCATCGTTCCTGTTGCCAATATTAATAATTACAGTAGCATTGTCTGAATAAAGTCCGTCGTTTGCTTCAACAGTTAAATTGTAGCTTTCAATTTTTTCATAATCGAGTTTGTTATTAACTTGAATCCTTCCAGTGGTATTTTCCATGTAGAAGGCATCGCCAACGTTTCCCTTGGTGATGCTGTAGATTATGAGAGAAGCTGTGTCTGGATCTAGGGCCTTCACTTCGATTACAGTCTTGCCTTTGTCCATATCTTCAAAAATATTGTCAGCAATGTATATGCCCTTAGTAAAACGAGGTTTGTTGTCATTTCTATCTTTTATATGGATAGGAAAGGCCTGCGTGGCTGAATTAGGCACATTTTTTGAACTTAGGGCACTTGGTGAATTATCTTTAGCAACAACGATAACGGGATAGAAATCGACCTTTTCCCTATCGAACATCTGAAGTGTAGTTATTTTCCCTGTCGTCTTATCAATATGGAAATGATCCATGTAATTCTGGAGCTCGTAACTTACTATATTATTAGCAGAAGTTCCATCTTTATCAATGGCACGAACCTTGTGAAAAAACAATTAGCATACTAAATAAAACAAAATATATACATTTATAGTTTATTTTACCTGCATAACAGCAGCTCCAGGCTGTTCGTTTTCTAAAACACTTCCTGATCCTATCTCTATAAAAGTTGGAATTTCATCGTTGACATCGGTTATTTTTATATTAATTGTCTTTGACGTGGACAAATGATCTCTGTTCGTGACACGTACGGTGAGTTGATATTCTGTAACTGTTTCATAATCCAAAGCACGGGCTACTGTAATAAAAGCACCAGAAGTATTAGCTCTTTGAGTAATCCTGAATGTCTCGTCAGAATTAGTTTGTTTCGTTTTTCCTTTGATCAATTCATAAGTCAAACCAACATCTTGAATGTTAGATCTGGAGATAAAAAAAAATTAACAAAACTGCAATTCTAAATTAATTGTTTTTCTTACTCTGCTTCAATGTCAGCAATATGGGAATCGACGTCGTTGTAGTTTTCTGGGAGATAGATTGGCTCTGTTGGAAATTTCGTGAATGAAGGTGGTTGCTTATCAGAACTGACTACTTGTATTTGAACATCTGTCGATGCTTCTTTCGGCTCTGCTCCGTTATCACGAACGACGACTTGCATTTTGAAGATTTGTCCTGTTTTCTATAGTTCGATTTTTTCATAAAATTAGTATTTGCTAGTTTATTTTAATATTTCTAACAACAACTTACCTCTACTAATGACTTTTTCAAATAAACTACACCAGTGTTTGCATCAATTCTAAAAAATTCGCTATACTCATTGAGTGTACCTGAAGAATAAGGTGGCATTAGACTGTAAGTGAGTCTTGCATTTTCGCCAGAATCGATGTCATACGCAAAAACACGCATTACCTCCCCATCAACTTTCAAATCTTCAACCACTTGCTCATTATATTGCTGAAATTTTTAAAAATGAACTTCTAAAGACCATATAAATAAGAGTTAACTTACAGATTTATCAAAAACAGGGTTATTATCATTTATATCCTCAATAGTTACTTTGAATGTACAATCTGACTCCAAAACAGGTCTTCCATTATCAGTAGCTTTTACAGTAACATAAAATTCTTTCTGATAACTGGGCTCATCCCTATCAAACCTTACATTTGTTGTTATAACACCAGTCACATTATCAATATTTAAATCTTGACGCTTGATATCTGGCTTAACTATTGAATAAGTTATGGTGCCCCCTGATTCCTTAGGGTCTATGTCAATGGCAGTTATTTTAGTAACATATGTGCCCCTTTCTTGCTCCTCCAACACAGAAGGCTTGTAGTTAGCACAGTCCAAAAATTCAGGCTTATGATTGTCTTTTGAATCTGATGGAACTGTTGCTATCCTAGATGACATCTCTTTGGCGTTGAACCCCATTGGTAACTCTGTCACTTGTGTAAAATGCTGGTCTGTGTAACTGTTATCTACATTTAAATAAAAATATGTTTTTAAAATACAATAAAACATAAGATCCCATTATCTACTCCTTTTCTTACAGGCAGCGTTAACTAAAATGCTACTGGTACATCATATAGGAAGTTTAAATTCTTAAAACTATTCAATTGAATGATTTATACAGTACAATTACTTTATAAGTTCAATGACAAAGTAATCATGAATATTTTCTTGTTTATTAGTTGATAACAACTACTATATGTATTATTGAATAAGTTAGCAGGCATTTTATCAATAATTAGGCTTTACTAGCTGCAATAAATATATGTATTACTTTAATTAACAATAAAAATCGATTTAATGGAATGTATGAGATTTTAAAATAATAATAAATAACAAGTTTCTAATGGATGAGTAATATGTACTTCCTTAAGAATCATCTCATGAGTAATTTAGTGTTCCTTCTTAGAAATCTCACTTCAAGTAGGAAGTAAATTTATTAGCTTGATAATCAGTCGATTATTTGATTTTTATACACTTACTTATTCCAAACAAGTAATTAATACTAGAGCAGAAAATAAAACCTTTTGCAATAAATGACTTTGGAGGGATTAAGTACACCTAAACCTTAAAATTTATAGTACAGATTTGTCTTAGAAATACACAAAATGATATTCATGTATAAGTAATATCAATTATATTAAAAAAATAACAATAAAATGATTAATTAGATTATAATTATAACTTACCTGAGAAAGGATCAAGCTGGGCTACAAAGCCCAAAGGTATTGATGCAAACATAATCAAAATCGACAAGTATTTAACCAAAGTTCTTGTATTCCCCATTTTCACTTCAAAAATGAATTAACTTAAACAAATTCAAAACTACAAGCAATTTTTTCTGTTAATCAACAGGTTGGTATGTGTTCACAGGTATTTGCGGTAACATAACTTTAACAGTGTGACTCAGAGTTATGGATCGTTTACACAATGAGCACATTTCACTGATTTTATAAACGAAATAACGGTTTCTGAGCTTTAGAGGTTACACCCAATTCACTTAAATTCATTACAATAAATAACTAAACATATAAGTAACAAATTAACAAAACCATTCGTTCAAACTACCCCAAATACAATTATCACTACACAAAAACTACCTAACTTGCTCTGATTGTAGCATACCTAACTTAACTAAATAATAATACTACTACAGCGCTTGTGCTCTGTTGCAGATTATAACGAACTACACAAAGAGTCCACTGTTGCCATTTCGTTATTTTAATTTAATTAAAATAAATAAAATATTAATT